GGGACTTGAACCCAGGTCCTCTGCAAGAGCAACCAGTGCTCTTAACTGCTGAGCCATCTTTCCAGTCCCAAATGAGTCTTATAATATACTGTTGAATTATTTTATTTTCTAGAATTTTATAGAGGATTTTTTATTCTATATTCCAGAAGGATATTAACCTATAATTTTCTCTCTTGTTAACACTCTTGTCTAACTGGGCAATGCTGACATTTTGATACAAGTTTGAATGTTCATTCTTCTTTAATTTTTTGCAAGAGTTTCAAAAAAATTAAAATTAAATCAGTAAACATATGATGAAACTTAGCAAGGCCAGAGCTTTTTCTGGAATAGACTTTTTATTTATAGTTCAGTATCCTTATTCATTATGGCTCTTGGCAGATTTCCCATTTCTTTTTGATTTAGCCTTATGTTTTCATATGTTTGTGTTTCCTTATGTTTCTGTGTGATTTAGCCATATATTTCCAAACACTTTATCCATTTTCTAGACTATTCCCTTAGTTGGCATGTAATTTTCATAATAGTCAATATCATTTTTATCATTTTTTGTCATGTCCATTTACTGTCTCCTTTTTCCCTCTGAAATTATGAGCCACTTTTCTTTTTCTTTTTTTTTTTTTTTTTTTTTTTTTTTTGGTCTTTTTGAGACAGAGTCTCCCTGTAGCCCCAACTGTCCTGGAACTCACTATGTAGACCACTGCCTCCCGAGTGCTGGAATTAAAGGTGTGCACCACCACACCCTGCTTGAGCCACTTTTCTTATTAGCCTAATCAAAGTCTTGTGAATTTTGCTTTTCTCTACTAAAAGACCTACTTTTCATTTCATTTATCTTTTCAGTTTCTTCTCTAATATCTCTTTAGTTTATATATGTTTTTTAATTTATTTCCTTTATGAAATTAGGCTTGGTGTGCTTTTATTTCCTAATTAAGTTGCAATGTCAGATTTTCATTTGAACTTTTTCTTCTTTTAGTGAATATTTATTATTGTGAACTTCTCTTGTATAACTACCCTTTATGTATCGCATAAGTTTTAGTAAGTTGTATGATTTTATCATTCTCAACATATTTTTTAAGTGTTTTAAATGTGTATACCTGAAGGCTATATAACAAGAAACACAGTGCCAGTCAGGAGAAACCTTCCTTTGAGTTGTTGGTCAGGGTAGCTCAAGGGACTTCCAAAACACAGGTTATTGCCACCGTACTTGATTACTTCCAAGAACTTGAAGGTAAGACCCTATTGCTGAAGACAGGGGCATACTTCCAACACAGGACTTGGTGCAATGGAGCTGGAACTGACCTGGAAGCCTCCTCCTCGAAGACTAGCTCTCATACCTCTAAGGGATAGTCTGCAAGATACTAAGGGAGAAAATCAATCAATGGTCCAACCCCAGCTTTAAAGTCTAATAACAACAACCGGTACAACGAATTATAGTGGTGCAATAGTGGCTCTTTTATCTTGGGGGTAATCGCCAGCTATCTAATTGAACTTAAAGCCCTCTCAATGGGAGGAAACTCATGTGTGGCTCTGTAAACAAAACCAAATACATGGAACTAAAGAGGTCATAGATCCTAAAGAAAACTCTACCTCTATCATATCCCTAGACAAATGTAATCTTTTACAGTATGTTAAATGTGAATCCTTATATTTACAGACAAGTATACCAGTCACCACTCATCAAAGAAGCTTCTTTTTGCAACAGATGGAGACTGTTAAAGAGTTCCACAACTGGTTACATGCAGAGAATATGTGTCTGAGAGATGCCCAGCCCTAAGTAATAATGGAACCTCTACAGCTAAGGCCCATGGAACATGGCAGAGCAGGAGGTAGAGTAAAATGTAATTGTTTTACAATTACATACATATGTATGTGTGGGTCTCTCCCTCCCCTCAAGGGCTGTTGGCCACTGATCCATGAGGACAAAGGGAGCAGAGGTGACAAACGGGTTCAGGACAGCCAGTGAGCACAACAGAAAAGACTCTCCGGGGAGTCAGATTCAGTGATAGAGCTCCGTTTATTCAGTGGGGGTCAGGGAAAATACAGTGTGGAGACAGCAGCCAAAACTTCAGCTGACAGGTGCTCATGGTATGCTTTATTTACATGTGGTAGGGGGATCCTATCATCCAACTATAGGGCAATGCCTAATTATCATATAGAAAAAACCTGGGGGCAATTTTATTGCAGGTAACTATGCCAAAGATCATGTTCCAAATAAAGTAAGGCATCCGTGCTTGGTGGCACTTTCCAGGTAAGTCAGGCAAAGAGCAGAAGGCCCCCCTCTGAGAAAGTGAGTCCTTCCATATAGCACCAAGCCCCTTAGAGCTATCTGGAAATGGTGGACTACAACCTTAGCAGCAGGGTCCCCCAACATGTATGTGTAAATTATATTGCGTACTACAATTATATTGACCCCAATGCCCCTCTCTTATCTTACCTCTCTCCCTCAGAACCTCATCTTCTCCCAAATGACCCTCCTTTTTACATTCATGTGTTTCATTTTTGTGCCCCCCCCCCGAGTTTAATTAATGTTTCTTATCTTTTAAAGTAGAAAGAAGACCCAGTAGATAGATCATAGTCTGTGATGGAATATGAAAGTTGGGGGAAAGACATCAAAGACAGCCTAGTGCCTAGTGGGTCACTCAGTACAAGAGGGCAAAGAAAAACAGAAGGTCTAGAAGCAGAAAACATGATGCTCCCTTAAGGACCTACTCTCTGCAGTACAGAGTTGAGCCTGGCACTGAGGACAAGGGATGACCCAGCGCACAGCTTTGGACTACAGAGAGAAGGAAGATAACCTTGAGGAATTATAAACTGTATGAGAACATCAGTTCTCCCTGTACAAGACAGTAGATCAAAAATGGAAGGTGATAAAATCAAAATCCTAAAACAATCTATATTTTAATGGTAGCTGAAAAAATAATGATGTACATGGGGACCAAGATGAAGGTACAAGAAAAATGTAAAACATCAGCAAGAATAGTCTGCTTCTATGAAACCATGAGACGAAGAAGTTGAAGGAAGAATGTTGACTGGTCACAAGTGAGAATCTAGCTGGGATAGGGCACTGTGGTCACTGCTACAGTGGCAATTGTACATTAAAGACTCTCCATAGACTAGCCCAGGGACAATGCCAAGGATCTCTGTGGCACTGACCTGGATTTGAAAGGTTCCTGAAGAAAGAAGGACATTTAAAAGGATGGTTAGGGAATGGATCCATGGGTAGTGAAGTATGACAATGAAAGATTGAATAATTAAAGACATCTAAAGAACAGGTAGGCTGGGGGTAAAAGAACAATAAGCATAGGATTCTGTAGCCAGAGTAAGAGGGTGGTGTTTTAACAGATTTCAGAATTGAAATAGGTCAGGGTATCAATGAGTTTCAGAGTATAATTTGACCAGCAGGGTAGAACATCCACCTAGGTAAATGGTCCCAGTCCTCAGGAACACTGAAGCTACTCAGATAACAGCACATTCCAGGGGATTATGGAATGGCATTTAAAAGTCTGACAAAAGGATATATATCATGAATTAGCAGAGGAGAGAAAACAGTGATACCAGAGGTAATGAATGAATCTTTAACAAGGTCATACTTTTTGTAAAGACAATCTATTCTTATCAGTTCTAGCACATTTATTCATATTCAGGTGTGGGTAAAAAGAGCATTAATAGAACAAAAAATATTTTGGAGATTGTCTAACTTTGTGCTGTTAATAATTAAAAATAAATGATTTGTTACATTTAGAATCAAAAGGAGGTTTTGGAGTAAAAAACCATACTTATCAATATTTGAGAGGATACACGAGTGATCTCTCCATTTTCCACATGCCTAATCACATCTTGCCTTGACTGTGCCTTCTGACTACATTGTCTTTTCATGCCGTGAGTGCCAGAACAAAGCAGAACACGGAAATATACCATAAATATTTGTATGGTGTACAAATCAAATCTCAGTTTAAATGAGTTAACGATCCCTCAGGGGCAGAGCAGTTTGTGTGGGAATAGAGCAGCCAGGTATGATGAGTACACAGGGTGTGTAAAAATCCTTGGGGATGATGGAAAAACAAAAAGTGGCCTAATACTTCATAATTGGCAGAATACCAAAGGATTTGGGAGTGGTGCTGGGGAGGGGCAAAAAATTTGAGTGGGTGGAAGACAGAGGAAACAGTAATGCTTGGGTGGAACACAGAGAGCTGGCAAAGATGTAGATGATCAGCCCAGCATGTCACCGAGGCAGAGTTTTAAGGATTGTTGTCTGAGTGAAGAAAGAGAGGCAAAACATGTGCAAAGAAACATGGGCAGTGTGACTATGTAATAATTCAAACTAGGTGAACGGCTTCTGGCAACCATAGTAACAAGTGTTCCAAAGCATGGGTTGAGCTTAGACAGTACATTCTAAACCTCATTGGCCTTTGGGTAGGCAGGATGCTGTGATGTAATCAAAGCCATTCAGAAATATTATTAGTCGGCTGACCTATTTCCAACTCTGTACTGAGTCTGAGCTTCTTCTCTGCCAGTGGTTGTGATGGCTGGCCTTATCTGTCTGTTATCTCCTTAAGAGAAACTCATGTATAAATAATCATTGAAAACAAAGAACTGGAAGGAAAAATGAGTAACATATCTGAGAAAAAAGGTGGTGAAGAGAGACAACTCACTCTGGGAATAACAAAATATGGCAGTAGACCTTCCTTCAAAGCTCAAAGGAAATACTGGTTTATCTCCCAGGCCATCTACTCCTCACACGCCCCACCGCATCTTTATCAGTTATAACTCAACATTGCCACTCATGCCAATATTCTCTCTGATTTTGGAGACCATCATTGGACCAACCTGGATATCTAGGTTTGCTAGGTGAAAAGCTGATGTTTTAAAGAATATACTATCAGCAAGAAGAAGAAATCATTTTTATAAGGTTCTTAGGAAGGTACAAGGCACTATTCACAAAATAGACTGAGAAAGACACAGGTCTAGAGTGTGTGTAACCTTCTGAGATAAGCAATTTTACCCACCTTATGAAAGTCAAACACTTTTTCTGCAAAAAGTCCATTGGCAATGCTGAGTTCGTAGTCCTTATGAGATGAGTTTATATCAGAAAGAACTCTTTTCAGTTGAAACTGGAATCCTGGCTGTTATTAAAGAAAGGCACACAAATTTATCCTTGCAAAGCAAGGATATGTATAATCCCACTTGTATGTGAAATAAACCATGCATGTTACAATATAAAACAACCAAAGAATGCTATAAAAGTGGTAAATGATGCATCATCTGTATCAATATATTTGCCCTTACCCATACTATTATCTGTGATCAAATTTAAAAAATACTCAAATAAATAAACTGAATACAATTAATAGAAAACAATTATAAATTTGCCTTAAATGCATACTAAACAGTTAGTTTTGCCAATGTCACTTAACTGTAAAGAATAAAAGAGAAAGGCAGATCATTTACTTTCATGCTATCTTACCACAGTCTGGCAAACAAGCAAAATATTGGTAAATAATTGAGTAAATTATCAAAAATTGCATTTGGAATGTCTACAATCTGGGTATCAGAACCAGTTTTCTTTGTTTTAATAGTACCGAAAACATTAAGATATGTTTACAAGATAAGAATTCCTTCAGTTTACTCTCACGTTATGTTTTCCATAAGGAACAAATTGTCGTTACCTGATCGTTGGGAGAGTTTCCATGTCTTGAGGGGGTATTGAAGTAAAGTGCCTACAAAATGACACAGGGAAAACCATCATCAGAATCAGAGAGTACTAGGGGATCGGTTAGCAAGAACTAGTGAAAAAAAATATTTCTTTTGTGCTGGGCATGGTGTCACAAGCCTTTAATCCCAGCACTCAGGAGGCATAGGTAGGTGAACCTCTGTGATTGAGGCCAGTCTGGTCTACGTAATGAGTCCCAGGACAGGTGAGGTTTCAGGGAGACTCTGTCTCAAAAATACCAAAAATATTTTTAAAACAGTTTCTTCACAATAAACTTGTCTAATTCTCATTTCAATTTTACTATTCCTGGAGCTGATTCTTATTATGATTCCAAATGGACATCAATGGGCTAAACTCCTCTAAGTTTAAATTATTTTCACATTTTCTTTCTCTTCTACTACTTACTTATCTCTGGTTAGCCATGATTTGGGAATTTTTTTTGAATGTGCTAGGTTGACATTGCTTCCACTAAAATATGTTTGTCTGCCAGTCACTCCACACGTGAGCATTTATTAGAATTAAGTGCATGTGTTGACAGCTTAGTCCCCAGTTCTTCAGTGCTTAGAAGTCAGAATTTTGAAAGGGGATTGGATCCTGAGAGTTCTGGCTTCCTTAGCTGATTAATCTATTTATAGATTCCTGGTTTCATGGATTTGGAATAAGAAGCTTAGTTATAAATTAAAAACCCACTCACTCTCTCGGTTTGCTTTCTGGCTGCCTTGAGGTGGGCAGCTTTGCGCTACCACACACTCCACCATGTTCTACCTTACCATAGGTTCAAAGTGACAGCCAACCACCCACAGACTGAAAACTCTTGAATTAGGAGACAAAATATTCCCTGGCCTTTTAAAGTTGATTTATCCAATATTTTGTCACAGTAACAGAAAGTTGACTAACACAGTTCCATGCAACTGAACTCAACAGTTTAATATGGTCCATGAAATACTACTACAATTATCACTACCAGAACAGCATAACTCAGAATGACTACAGACTATTTTGTGACCTATGGAATACCAGAGCCTCTTTTAAAAAAGACCTAGTAGGTTCATTTAATCATTTGAGCCATCTACTATCAATTAGATCATCAATTTATGGGTTCGATTAAGATTTCTTTAAATTTTATCTGCCAGTTTCTGACTCCTCTCCGCTTTTTAAAACTAATTTTATGGAATCATGCATCATGTATATTGTCTCACACAAGGCAGAAACAACACAAATTCACCTCAGGTAGTCATTTGTGCCGACCAACTTTAAAGACATGGGTTTTGGATTTTTGTTTTTTGTTCTTTGTTTTTTTTGCATCAAGTATGATTTCAATTAGGCCAGGGATATTTTGTCTGATAGAGAATATTCTTGTTGCTGCTAGAAACATGGTAATGGTCATGAAATCCCGACAACAAAGCACTGAAATTTTAAATTTTAAATTAAAATTTAAAATTTGAATCAAATTTAAAAATTCTTTAATTTAGGATTAGCCTATAGAGTTTTATAAAATCTTAAATATTTCAAGTTTGGTGAATTTAATATTAAATGGGCTTATTTTAAAGAAAAATGTGCTGTATTCATATTCATAATTAAACAACACTGGAAAATTTCATATTTTAAGCTCAGTTGAAAAGTTCCTTATGCTGTCAAGGTTTAAAATTTGTTTGGGCTGGAGCTCCTTGCCCTCCAAGGTCAACTAAGTACCAGGGGACCATGGAGCATCTCTCAAAATGTCCTATAACTGTGGTGAGTCACCTGTCCTCTTTTCAGGGAGGCCATGGAGACCCCACCAGATGGACTTGAACCAGTGTCCAGTCTACCAAGAGGAGGGTCAACTCAGAGGAAACATTTCCTCCATGCTTCCAAGTGAAGCCAGCCATGATCGAGTAGGACCTTTGACTCATCTTCACACAGGTGGAACTGGTAAAAGAATGGAGCTGGGGCTCCTCACAAGCCCCTGTGACCCCTGAGGAACAGATCCTCAAACAACCTTTAGAGTAAAAACAAATTGGTTTACTTGGGCCAACAGTATGGTCTTAAACACCCAAAAGGAATATATAATCAAAGATTAAAGTGATCCATATATTTCTTTAAGAGTTCAAGGGATTACACTTCCAAGACATTAGACTTAAGTCCATATAAAATGTTATTTAGACAGAGTGGACAATAACAGGGATGACAGAGTATATGGGCTCTAGTGGGGGGTGGGGAGAGGCTATGGGAAGGTGCCATTTGGGATGTGGTTATATAGATGAATAAGATTGTTTGGGATGTTCTGTATGAAATACACACAAAAAATAAACAAATAAAAAATTTGAGTTATATTTGAGGAAGACGCATAAAAAATTTCCTTCATGTTAATTAGTAAAGGTGAAAAACATTACCATTGAAATCTACCTAATGACTTTATATCCATGCTTAGGTGCCAAGGATTCAGAAAGTAACCAACTGTGACTAGTAATAATCAGATACATAGAGATTAGAGATGCATGTGCAAACATCTAAGTGTTAGTAGCATTAAAAATAAGTTTTTTCTGTATGAAACAGCATATTTTAAAATGAAATAGAGATCTTTTTTAAAGGTTAAAACTTTATTCAATTTTATGTCTTATAGGGTTTATACTGAGTACAATATTGTATAACTGTATTAATTCAACTGTGAATCTAAAAATTTATAGCCAATTTTGAAAGAAATGCATCTTTGCTCTGAAATTGTTATTCAATATGTTAATGATGTAATGAAATATTTCTTCTAATCATGTGGTTACTAAATAAATAATTTTTAAAAATAAAATATTAAAAAATATGTTATTTAGACAATTATTTCTCATTGATGATTTTGTTTCTAAGCAGAAAGTGCTGCTCAGATGTAAGACTTCAAATCTTGGTCTGCAATACTGTAGTGCCCATCTGTAGCTAAGGGAGACAATTCACTATTGTTCTAAAATGATGGCTAAATTTGTTTTCTGTCCATATCTAGAAGCCTTTGAGAGGGAACTGACATTGATTCTAGTCATTCTAACAGCTATCAAAGAACCTGAAAACAAATTCTGAGTCCATCACTCTCAATTCCAGCTTTGGCAGACAGAAGAAAAATGAGGAGGAACCCAATAGAGGGATGCTTTTGAAGTTCTCGTCAAGAAACTCCAATGGACTCTGATACGAACATTTGAAATTTCCCTGTTCTGACCTTTCTCTGATTCCCTGTCTAGAACTTGTAATGCTAACTATTCTTGCCTTTACTTCTCCTTCACATCTCTTATTGACCAATCAAGGACTTTGTTTTCTCCCTACAGAGATAAGAGTTATGCAATTTGGGAGTATTTTTCATAGAACCACTGAAGGGGCACCCCAATTGCCTCACCCTGTGTCCCTGTTCAGCATGGAAGAAGCCAGAGCAGTCTGCATCCTGATTTCCTATTGGCAATTTGGGTAACCTCTTCAGAGGATTGTGTGATAAAAATAAGAGTTAGAAATTGGCTAGGCAGTTAGGGTAAAAAGACCCCTAAGAAAAGTAGCCAGTTTCTTGGCTAAGAGTCAAAATGTCCTTGTGCCTCATAAGCAACATACTCCATTCCAAAGACCAAAAATATAAAAAGTATTTGGGAGCTCTTATCTAATCCCTAAAAGATTTTAGGGTTACTTCTTCAGAGTAGCAAAAAGCCCCATTAAAAAAATAAAGAAAGAAAAAGTACATGAAGTTGTCAGAAAAAAATGATGGGGAGGTATAGGAGGAGTTGGATGGAAGGGGAGGGAGTGGGTGTGATTTAATCAAAACTCCTTATATGCATGTATAAAATTCTCAATAAATTTTTTAAAGTTAAAGAAGATACTATATAGCTTAATTGGGGAAACCATGATGGAGGGATTAGACAATGTGAGAGATAAATAATGCCTAGCTAGTTTTAAAAACCAGAGGAAACCATATTAGTCCAACAACCTACTGACAAATTATACATAGCAGATCAAGCAATATATGGCTAGACGGACATAAAGGACAGTTTTTGCTCCTTGGCCTCCTAGGTTGACTAGTTCCAGGGGACTATGAGCATCTCTCAAAATGTCCTGTAATTGTGATGGGTCACCTGCCCTCTTGATCATGGAGGCCAAGGAGACCCCACCAGATGGACTTGAACCACTGTCCAGTCTACAAAGGGGAGGGTCAACACAGGCAAAACATTTCCTCCATGCTTCCAAGCAAAGCCAGCCATGTTTGAGCAGAACTTTTGACTTACCTTCACATAGGTGGAACTGGTAAAAGAAAGGAGCCAGGGGCTACTCCCAAGCCAAGGGGACCTCTGAGGAACAGATCCTCAAATGACCTTAAGAGTGAAAACAAATTGGTTTATCTAGGCCAACTGTGTGGCCTTAAACATCCAAAAGGAAAGTATAACCAAAGTTTAAAGGGGCCAATATAATTTTTTAAGAGTCCATATGTATAGCTAAAGGCTACATAACAAGCAACAATGCCAGATAAGAGATACCTTCTTTTGAGTTGTTGGCCAGGGTGGCCCAAGGGACTTCCCAGCATAGAACTGGGAAAATGAACAGCAGACCCCAATCTTATCTAAAGGAATATTGACAACTGATTGCTGCTAGATGAGGAATAGCTGACCTTCCTAAAACAAAGACCTCTAGATAGGCTGACTAGATTCACCAGATGGACAAGTAGTAGGGAACAGCTGGGGGTGCCGACAACACCGTGGACAGTAGCAGGAATAACAGAGTATCAGGGCTCTAGTGGGGGGAGGGAGGTTATGGGAGGGTGCCATCTGGGAAGTGGGTGTATAGTTAAATAAGATGGTTTGGGATATTCTGTGTGATATACACACACAAAAAATCAACAATTTTTTTAAAAATTAATTATATTTGAGGAGGAAGCATAAAATTTTACATCATGTTAGTTAGTAGAGGTGATAAACATTACCATTGAAATCTACCCAATGACTTTATAGACGTACACAGGTGCCAAGGATCTGAGTGCAACCAATTATGAGTCATAGTAATCATATATACACA